CGACCTCTTTGGGCAATTTGATCGACAGGGACACCGATACTACCGTGTAGAGAACGTGGTGGCAGAAGAAAATGCCCGCGGTCGGAAGGAGCTATTTGTGAAATGGCTGAGTTATCCAGCTAACGAGGATACGTGGGAGTCTTGTAGTCGTATTCTTTGCGACCATCACGATATCGTTCTCGCGTTATCGGCGGTCCCAAGACGACCTCCGCTTAACGGATTAGTCTCATCCTCCTCTCTCTCCCTTTCGCCGTGGATTCGACGCTTGCCTTAGTACGAAGCCGTTTAACTTGGCTTGCTTAATGGTGTACTCTTTTTAAATCGCACGATTGATAGCATCGTTCAGAGTCTTGGGATACTCACGGATCAGATGATTCCGGATCAAACCGTCATTCGAACCCGCCATGAACATTACACCTTGTGTTGAAACGTCAATTGGCTCGTTGACAATTCTCGATGTCAAGTAGCGAGCATGCTGTGCATATGATTTTAGTTCTTAACGATTTTGACGAAGCTTCAAGTACTCGGCGTGGGCAGTCAACTCAATCTGTGGTAGTTCAAAATATTTAGCTCGAACTTGAAGTTTTCGTAGCTTGGAATGCAGTTCAAGTTGGCTAAACGCTTACCATACGTCCAAACTTCGCACGACACACAAGGCTGGACATCGCGAACAACCCTTGCTGCAAGGATTCTCGCAGTTGTCTAGCAGTGGTTGCTGCATCCAACTCGACAAACCAGAGTGAGTGAGGCTTAGGGCTTACCAGCACTATCTGGCGGTTTTGGGGCGACTACTCTTTGTAGATAGTGCAATAGGGCAGCACGATGCACCATGTGTTTCATGATGGTCGGCTCCGACGCAAGGGAATTTGTGACCTTCGTCGAGACTTTTGAAATAATATCGACTTCATAAGTATGAAGGAGCGAACGTGCTCCTTGACCACATCTTAGTCGTGACGTAGCAATCTGATGGTCAAAATTCGATAAATCTTGCCGACGATGGCCTATTCTGCATCAGACAGATACCGTTAGTTGGAGTGATTCAACAATGACGTTTGGGTGGAAAGTTTGTCTGGTATCTGGAATCGGACATCTTCAATGTCGGCGGTGGATTGACTACAAAGTGCTACCAGGTGTAACGGGACAGCTGATTCACGCACTCTTGTGCTGAGCTAGCTTCTTTACCTTGAGGCTTGGTCTTCTTGCATAGCTGTCGTACAAGCCCCTTCAATCACTACCGTGTATCGAGATCGAATGAAGACTGAATATATTGAAGGTGACTTATTCTAATCATAATCTTAAACTAAAATAGAAATAAATGTACCTAATTGTAACCACCTACTAATTAGCGTAGAGCACATTTAGTTAGTTAGTAACTAAGTGTGTAACACATACACTGTGTAATGGGCCTACCACCCCATTCCAATTTTGATGATGGATATTACCAATCCTTGACGAGGAAGGGGGCGCCCCTTTGACGGCTGTTAGTATACATTTGTAATGCCACAAGTACTATCCAATGCCCCAGTAACGTTCACTCGATTGGTCTCCCATCTGTTTCGACCGCTGCGACGCTTCGCACCGACCTATCTTAACGATATTTATGTACCTTCGAAGGTCGAAGGTGGCAGATCTGCCAAAGAGGGTACTTAGTGCACTTCCGTGCGGTGCTGGGATGTATGCGTGAACACTTAGTTGCAAGCAAATCTTGCAAAGTATTTTCGGTGTACCCAACCTCGACTGTTATGTCGGCGAACACGGTGTTCGTGCAGACCCTGAAAGCAATTGTGAAGTGGCCAACGCCACGGAATCAAAAGGGTTTGAGGAAATGGATTGACTTGTCCCACTTCTCGCGTGGCTCCAGGAATTCGTCTGCTCACAATCAAACTTGCTGAAGAACGATGTACCATGGAAGTGGCCATCGAAGTGTGAAGAAGCTTTTACTAAGATCAACCGCAGTCCGGTGGAAGCACCATGTTTTTTTGCTATACCAGATGATACGAAGCCGTATAGCGTTTGCTGTGACGCTTCTGATGTTGTGATCGGTTGTGCACTATTGCAAAGGACTCAAAAGGACACGATCGAGTCATGCCACTAAAACCAGAAAAGAACTATTCTGTCTACGACAAGGAGCTCTGGCAATAAAGTATGCCCTGATGAGGTTATGTGGTCATGTCTTAAGTTCAACGCCGTTTGTCGTATTCACGGATCACGCAAGGCTGCGATATGCGGTTCAGTCTCCTTGCTTTTCACAGCGGATGGGTCGCTGGTTGTTATTCTTTGCAGAATACAACACCATAGTTGCGTATAAATCGGGAAACGGAACGTACTGACTGATGCATTGACACGTCGTCCGGTTTTGAGCAAGCTCATATAAGCGATGTATTTGAAATGATACGTCGAGCGTTTGTTGAGGATGAACAGCGTGATCTTTTCATCAATGTACTCTCATCGAGTGATGTAGAACTTCATGGCAAAGCTCCCTGGTTGCTTGACGGATGCACCGTTATGACTGTAGGATGATCTACTTCACAACATTGCTGCAAGCCACGAATTGTGGTTCCCAACGACGATGATTTGAAGAACCATATCGTGTACGAGGTGCATGAAACGCCGATGGTCGATCACTTTGGCCATGAGACGACCTACCAATCTTTCGATGCCCAATTTAGGAGACCCCGCATGTACAAGTAAGTTTCACGACACGTGAAGGCATGCGATGTCTGTCAGCGCGTAAAGAGCGCTCGGTCACTGCAGAATCCTTCTGTTCTTTCTGGCTTTTGGAAGTCAGCCGGTCCATACTTTGTATTCCATTTTCCCCAAGAATGATGACGATCACAACGGAGTGCTCGAATTTGTCGACAAACTCAGCAAGATGGATCGCATCACCCCATGTTGTGATTTCATCATTCCAACGATGCCGAAGGTTTGGCTAGATTTTTCATTGATCACGTTTTTTGCAATCACGGGTTGCCAGACGCCATCGTATCTGATCGTGATACACGATTCACGATTGGCTTTTGAAAAACTTTGTCTCGAATTTTTGGCACTCGCTTGAATATATCCATGGTACATTGAGAGACCGATGGGCAAGCAGAACATGCCAACAGAGTGGTCGGTGATGTGATGAGAAGATTCCGTGCGGAACGTCCTGCAGAATGGAGCTCGTTGTTGCAATTAGTAGAGATTAGTATGAACAATTCGGTTCATTAATTTACTAGATTTACACCGTTTTTCTCAATGGCTTGCGTCACCCTCAAGTACCGCTTTGTGCGATGGGTGGTGTTTCTGATAAGTGGGGGGTGCTTGGCAAATCGTTGCCTCTCGAATTGATACAATCAATGAGCAAATAAATAACTAGGTTGCCGTGGACTCATTTATGCTAAGTCTTGTATATGTGATCATACGTGCGCGAGATGCAATAGCAAATGCGCAGATTGACGAGGTCATCAAGGCTAAAAATAATGTTTTGGATTATGCACTCCATGGTACTAGGAGCCTATCAGACGGTGCGGTCTCAAGCTTGGACAGCTTGAAGCTATTACTTCGCTTCATCAGTCCATTTCGATTAGTGTCATGCTACGAAAATACTTACAGTATCGACCTGTCAAGCTGGCTAAGGACACGTCCTGCAGCGGGGCTGCTGCCGTAGCTCTTTGCTAGAAGGAAGCTAAGCGAAGGTCACCGACCTTATGTTCTATACTAGATCCAGTACGAGCGTAGCGGATCGCAATCCGCTCCCTCTTAGAGACGTCAGTCGACTGGTACAATTGACAGGTCAGATCCAGTGGGAATCTCGTACATTTTTCACGCCTACAAATGAGCGTCCCCGCAACGATGGAAAGTGTATCCATTGTGAGAAGCCGGGTGATATTGCTCGGAATTGCAGAGTGGCTTTGTCGGGTCGGTAACAGACACAGGGTGCCGGTTCGGATAACTGCGGACGCTATAAATGTCGTTGTTCAAATGCTCACAATGGCAAAATCGGGAACGATCAGTAGGGGCGGGGCTCTCTGCTGAACCCGACAAGAGTACTGTGGATGCTGTGGATACACAGAAATCTGGCCTTAACGTGCATGAAGCACATGCAGTTTCCACTATGAGTGTTAGTAGTTTCAGGCAAAATGCGACTTTCATTGTCCAAGAAGTCGTGTAGACAATTTTGAAAAACAACTTGGAGCTTTGATTGACAGTGGTGAGTCGAACAACTTTGTTCGAGCTCAAGTTATGATGTTAGCCTGCCTAATGTGAAAGGAGAAATGAATATCGTTTAGCAAATGTATCTGGATTGAAGACGCCAAAGAAAGTTATTCGCTTGGTAATGAAGTTTAAGGATTATCGAGGTGAAGACAATTTTATCCTACTCGACCTCGATGATATGATTGATATCATCCTAGGCATGCCATGTTTGAAGCGCTATCAGCCTAGCATTGACTGGATAAATATAAAGATCGCCGTCTACAATATGTGTTGCGCTAACTCGAGCTACCTGTCGACGAACGAAATGGTGTGGGCGTATGCATCTGCTGAATGTGATATTGTGGTGTTCGATGGCTCCTATGTTCACTGGACATGACTAAGAAGACATAGCGGGCATCCGGTAGATGGTAGATGGTTGATGGGTTCTTGGTAGTGTGAAACGTACAGAAGACCGTCAAATATTCGCCGTTTCTGTTCCCGATTGTAGCGCAGAAACGCTGTGCAACAATATACGCCAACTTGCTCGTCCTGGTTCTATCATCCATATTAATTTTTTGGCAAGGGTATTCTTCTCTAGCTAAAATCAAATATTATTTAAATTCCACTGTTAGTTATTCACAACGGTTTAAAATTCCAACAGCACATACAAATGCTTTTTTACGTTCGTGGAATATTATAAAGATGATTATCCCAATAAGAAATGGCATTGCAGAATCAAATGCTGATTTGTGGAATTCATTTGGCGTCGTTTCTAGAAGCAATAGCAAATATTAAAATAGCGTATTAAAGTTTTTATTAAATATGCTATACTATAGTTTCTACTTTTATTGTATCTAGAAAGGTTCAGAAGATGTGAGAATAAGTGTGGCACACATCGTATTGGAAGAAGGCTCAATAATGTACTGTACACAAAATACAATATTGATGTTTGGCATTTGCATTGGTCATAACGATTCTGTCAGTGGGGACATTGTGAGCAATCAGCCTCTGCATAGATTCCTCGAGGCATGTGTAGGTTGAGATGGGGCTCTGTGGCTTCCAAGTCATCGACTGCCCTAGGGTCCAGTCAGGTTCCCTCCTCCCATGATGAGATATACCACTGCTCTAGTGATTATTTTATCAAGGGTGCGAGGTCCCCCTGGTGCCTCAAATCGACTAAGGAGGATCTCTCAGGGCTAATATAGGATATTGTCTTGACAATGTGGGCCAGATGCTTCACTTGTGATAAAGTAGGGATCCTGCAGCAGCTTCTCACATAGTAAATGCGCCACATTCAATCAATGCATGCAGCTATTTTTAGGTTCGGGTGCTCGGTCTGTTAAATCCAATATTCAGATAAAACATTTTCGAAGCTTGAGGTTGACTTGATTGACATGCGAGCAAAACTCCAGATGGTAATTTTTCATGCAATTGATTATGTTGCTTCCAGTGAGGAGTGAAACGAGAAACTAAACTCTTGACAGTCTCAAACGGGGATATTTTTAACATTTGTGGCACCAAGGGACATCCAAATTGACAATGGGCGTGAATTTGACAACGACAATATCCGAGCTTTTGTGATATCAATGACAGAGAAGCCAGCAACATTCAACACTCCTTAAATCTCCCAATTAAACGGGATGATAAAGCAAGCTCACCATACAATCCGCCGTCGTCTAGTAGCTTACTATTCTGAAGCAAGGCTCCCTGAGGTCACCCGGGCAGATGCATTGACGCATTTTGCAAAAATAATGAAGCTAAAAGAGCCACCAGCACAGGTGGCTTCCTGTGGAAGAAGGATACCTGACAAGCACCGACTTTCTCAATTTGGCTCGGAAATTCAAAAAAGTCCATTCAACCATGAACCATCAATATCCAGTGATCCAGAGGAAGTTGTCGGTAAGTATACCATAGTTTTTGATGCCACGTTATTTTTCGTCTTTAATTTTTTGAAACTGCAACAACTGAAGAGTTGGAGAGATCAAAAACAAAATTGTCGATAGCTATCCACATCGCCTGAGCAAATAGGGCACGGGAACGGACTGCCATGACTGCAGGAAGCAAAATTTCAGAAGAATTAGAATTCAGTGTTTTGTCCGTCCGCGCATCGCGCGAGAATATTGGGGACGACCTTCATCTACCTGGTTGCAGGCGATTGTAACGAAGCGGCATGGTGACATGTCATACAGCCCCCAGCCTGACTTTGTATTTGTAAACCGGCAAATCCACGGGAAGCATTTGAGCCGATCACAGCCATTTTGTGGTTATGAAGATTGCTCACTGAGTAGGTGCAGCTTGGTGGGAGCAATGAGGGTAGAGGCAGAATGGGTAATGAAGGGGATATACGCGAAGATGTAAGGGAAATACATGCATGAGTAAGAAGAACAACCGGCAATGCTCCGTTCTCTGTCATCCTGACCATGCTCACGTTTGTGTGTACTGTCAAACAGAACGTAGTAATGGTAGCGACATTGAAAAATAAGAATTCAGTTAGTTGTCACCTCTCGCAATCAGCAAACACCCTGTTCAACCGTGGACTGCTTTCAGAATTCCTGAGATCATGTATTGTGATACGGAGTTCATGTCAACTTCCGTAGCAACATCAATTGAAAAAATGCTTTTTCAATTGCAGCGCTTCTGGGCTTTACGCTAGATGTATTACATAAACAGAGCACCGGCAGTTTCGACTTTTTCATTTGATCGTGAAACTTCAATAAGTGGTGTTCGAGCATAGGCAGTTTGAAAATGCCACAGATTGACCACAGCACAAGATGAACGGGTGGAATGATCCACACGGGGGAATAAGTCACACGATTTGGGGATGATCCACACGGGAGTACCATCTACACGAACGTGGGTTTTTCGCAGTACCAGGCGCGCATCCGGCCAAGTCACCTGCAAAAGCTTGAGGGCGAGTATCGTCGCTTGACAGTGTCAGTGAACAAGATAATGGCAGCGAGGGATTGAACGATGACGGAGAGTTCCCAATCTAGCGTTCAGGCTGGATTACACAGCCTACACGATTGAGACTGTGGTGTACGTTCCGTGCCAGATGATGAAGCGGTGGAGTCGCTTTTTGGGAGCCAGTGGAAAGATGTTTTGAAAGTGTGCTAAATACGCACGAGCGAAACCAGACATAAACACTCGTACCTCACCAGAGCAACACAGGTGATTGGCAGCGAATGGGTTCACGAATAACACGCGGAATGGCACAGATAGCAATACGGCTTCGACTTTTTCGACACATAATTTAAAATCGAATGAAACCAGATCGTACTGGCGCTACGCTGCGCGAATGGGAACGTGATCGCCTAGATTATTTTACAAAGCCCTTCTCACTAGCGTGCTGAAGAATCTAATACGGTTCACGCGTCTGTGATGGAAAGGTGTGCGGAACGACCAGTGTTTCTACGTAATGACGTTTCGAGATGGCTTCGTCGCTCCGTTGTAATGTACCTCGACGACATGCTGCAAGCAATGAAGTCACCATCACTGCAGTGAAGGAGAAAATCGAGGCATGATTCCAGGTAGCAATCTATGTTGAACAGAATCGAAGCTGACGCACGAACCTTGCGAAACGACGGCTGCAGACAAATCGTCTATGTCCAAGCGACTATACTGCGCACTCGTCGTGTGCCAACTTCATGTGGCGTTATGCGTTTGGCTAGACGTGATCAACGCTTTGACAAGTTTAAGTTTATGCCGCATTACCAATAAACGGCCAGCCGAAATGGTATGTTGTACAAGTGCGAGTTTTCAGGATGCTGGAAGCATATGTGACGCGAACTGGAAGGCAACACTGACAACAGGCGCTTGATATCGGGAGTTGTCTTAGCGATGTGCGGTGCGCCTGTGATATATACGTGCAGAACCAGTCGTCAATCGCCTTTACTCCACTGAGACCGAGTATATGGCATTAAGTTTGTGTATCCAGGCTGCTCACAGAACTCCTGAGAAGGTGACTATCATCAAGGAGGACGACCTAGGTGCCTTGCGCTCACCAAAATGACGGGATACCAGCCACGGACAAAGCACTTCCATATCCCAGTTCAGCTTTGGGTTGCAAGTTTGTGAAATCGAAGGCGATCGAGGTGCCGTACTTTGAGATGAGTCTCCAGCCCTCACCAAGCGGCTAGCAACAAAGTGTTATCTATTCTTTTTGGATAAAAGCGCTCAGATCATCGCCTTTAAAAGAGGGGAGGGTGTTGGGCAGCTCTTGCAGGCACATACAGCTGGACAACGTGCAGCATGACAGTGCAACGGTGAATATTTATGAAGCTCCTATAGGACGGACACTTGGATGAGTTAAAGTTAGTGATTTTTGGCTTACACAACACGACGCCTATGTGTAGACACAGGTGGTTCATGTGGTAATCAACCAGTTCATAAATTTCGCTTATAATATAATATAAAATTGCTCAATCGATTTCACAACTTTGTTGATGTGCAAGTCGTATTGCGACTCTGGAAGCAGTCGCGTTGGTTGTAGTAGCCGCACAGATACTTGTGTCGACGTAAAAAATCGCTGCATTTGTTGTTAGAGCATCAGCATGCAATTTCGAAAACACACGTCCGGAAAAACCTCGATTTTGCCAACTTCTTAAGTATCATTTCGATTGAAATGTATTGCTGTTGTTGTCGCACAGCTTCGCAAAGTGATGTGCATTCTCGCCAAACTGATGCAATATAGAGATAATTGAACAGTTCTACATTAGAACCTTAGAATTTCAACATTTCTACAAGGTGTTCTGTAGCGTACCGAATTCTCAAGTGTGGCATCAGCACCTTTGTCTCGCAGATATTTCATTACCTCTAACTGATTCTTTTTAGCAGCTACAATAAGCGGTGATTGATGCTGCTCGTCTAGTGCATCGACATCTGAACCAGCTTCGACGAGCAGTTGAACAACTTCCAAGTTCAGCTTTTCACAGTAGCAAGCGTGGTGTAGTGGAATAGATCCATTCTGCGACTCCAATGCGTCTTAATATGTTCGAAAGGGCAAGCAAACTAAAAATTACTTACGGTATTTCGTATCGAGTATTCCGCGCCAGCTTGTAGTAACTGAGCGACGCACTTGGGGTTACCTGTTCGTGCTGCATTGTGTAACGGCGTGTTGCCAAACTATAAAGCAAGCAAAAGCTTGAATATACTCGCGGTGTTTGGTACAGCTCACCCACACACCTGATTTTGAAAGTTGATAAGATCCGAGGCATCGTCGCTTGATATGTCAAAGACCTTGTTCAATACTAGCTGTAGAATTTTCGGATCGCCTTTTGAAGCCGCTTCATGTAACGGACTGTTACGATCCTATAATCAGCCAAGAAAGCGATGAGTACAATTGCTTTAATTTTCAACCTGTAGTAAGTGCTTTCACGCACAGGAGTTTTAAGCACTCCAAGCTCTGCATTAGCTTTTAATAACATCTCGACGACCTCTAAATGACCATTAGAGATGGCAACTACGAGTGGTGTAGCTCCATACTGTAGTAGCACACTTTATTTATTACAACAAGCGAAAAAAAGACCCACATCAAACCGTCAAAGCACAGTTGTTTTGCTTCTTACCGACTGCTTGCACTGCCAGTTAACGTCAGCACGAGAATCCTGGATCAGGTCTGCAACTACTTGCTCATTACCAGCTTCACATGCTTGGAAGAGCTCCTCTGTTTGGACGGAAATTACTCTGTTCGCACTCATCTGATTGAGCTCAGCAATATGTATGGTATGGATAGAGTGCACTCAAGCGTCGCTGATGCATGTTAAAAGCTGTAGTACTAGCAATAATTCATTTAGTAGTAGTATATAGTTACTACTTAAGTTACTACAAACGTAAAGATGTGTCCCGATAGTATTAGTGATAGCGACCATCAAGAGGATCCTTCGCAACCTGCGATGGTTTCGATCAGTTACGTGCCATACTAATCACTAGCGAAGATGGTCTAGCGGATGCACTTCGCGAATGCATCGCGCTGCTTTTGTTCGCACCACGCCAATGGTTTCCAACCGATCAGGCGCGCGAGTTTTGCAATTATAAAGCTTGTATAACGGCTGTGCAGCAACTGCAGAAAGTTCCAACTTGCATGTGGGTCAGCAAAATTTCACCAGGTAGCGACGCCAACACGTTGTCTATTGCAAAGCAAGTCATGCAGGACTCCGCTACATGAGATTTAATAAAAATATATATAAGTAAACATGATCTTGATGCGCTCTTTCGGCCTGTCATATATGATAAATTAATTGGTTTGATCTATTAAAGGTATGGGGGGCTATCAGTGGTAGACAAATTAAGTTCAAGCACAAGCAGCATGGCTGGCCGTGGACGCGAGCTTACGCTTCCTGCTTGGATGAAAAGACAACAGGAACAAAAAAGCAGTTATCATCCTCCATCTTCATCGCGTGAAAGTGTATACTCTGGGCCATCGGCGCACCAGCATCAGCGAATGCCTTCCTCACTGCCGTCTCAATATGACAATGCGCCGGTACACGACGATTCACGTTCTAGATCTAACGATATTAGATGATTGACCGTTATTGTGCAATAGGAAGCGCGAAGTGGAAGCTCAATCACAGCGAATTTACCTGATGACCGCCGCCGCGATTCGCGCCGCAGTCACCGTATACGCTCGCGCTCGCCGCACCGCAGGGACCGCAGTCGCAGCAAAGAAAAACGCTCTTCGCGCCATCGTTCGACTCATGAACGCCGCAGCCGCAGTCGGGAGAATGATCGCCACCGTTCCCGCGATTACATGGAGCGCCACTCGTCCAGACGTAGTCGGAGCTGCTCCCGTTCATCGCCACGTGTTGTCCGACGCCGCAAGAAATCAAATTTTGATGTCCGACCGCCTGGTGTGACAGAAGAGAATGCCGCAGCTTATGCAGCGCAAGCCATTTTACAGCAAAATATGGCGGCGCTGTCTGGTTCCGTTGGTCCAGCGTCTTTTGGACCGCCGCAAAACGTAATGACATCCACTGGAGTGAGTAATTTATTCGTTTTGTTTGTTGCTGCTAGTCACGTGTGTACAGCACACGGGGCAATACGTAGTCAACAGCACGGAGAGATCCGACGGCTGACACCGTGTCATTGTGTATGCGTTGTCCGTTGTCTGTCCGTGCTTGCTTGGCAGCTCCACACTGTTCTCGAATGGCGCTGGATTTGTGCGCAATGTCCATTCATCATTCCGCTCACTCGTTTTCTTCGTTTATGTTATCTCTATTGTTTAGAACTCGTCAGCGCAATCATCGTACGCACATGCAAGCGTAGCGACGGCATACGGACTGCCTGGCATGTCGCAGCAGACGCGGCATGCTCGCCGGCTGTATGTTGGTGGGATTGGCGAGATCTCAGAGGCAGAAATTACAGTATTCTTTAATGACGTGATTGATCGTGCTCTGGGTGAGAAGCAGGAAGGTGGCTCTGTAGTGTCTGTATACATTAACCGTGAGCGTCATTTTGCTTTCGTGGAACTACGCACCATTGAGCTCACCACGGCATGCATGAACTTGGATGGTGTGTCGTACAATGGCCAGCCTTTAAAGATTCGCCGTCCGAACGACTATAATCCTGGTACGGTCCCTACGGATCTCGGGCCAATCCCGCAGCTAAATTTGGCTGCTTTGGGAATTGTATCGACTACTGTGAGTGACGGTCCGGGTAAGATTTTCGTTGGCGGTTTGCCGTATCATTTGAACGAAGAGCAGGTGAAGGAACTGCTGCAAGCGTTCGGTCCATTGCGATCATTCCATCTTGTAAAAGAGCTAAGCTCAAACCTCTCAAAAGGTTATGGGTTTTGCGAATACATGGATGTGAACGTGACTGACGCTGCGTGCCTTGGACTTAACGATATGAGACTGGGGGACAAGACTCTTACGGTGCGTCGAGCAATGTCACAGGAGAATGCCAAGGCGGTCGCAAGCGCTGCAGGCACAGTGAACACGGGTTTAGAACTGGGTTTAGATCCGTCGCAGGCTGCGATGCAAGCGATGAGTCTGGCAGGGATAACAAGCGTGCCACTTGGTCCACCTACTAGAGTTATTGTGCTGCATAATATGGTCACACCGGAAGAGCTTGAGGATGAAGAGGAGTACGCAGACATTGTAGACGATATTAAGGGTGAATGCGAGCGGTTTGGAGCCGTTCCGTCGTTGTTGCTTCCGCGTCCTCGTGATGGTGTTCTCAGTGCCGTTGGTAAGGTCTATGTTGAGTTTAGCGATGTGCAATCGGCCCAGAATGCAGCCGCAGAGCTTCATGGTCGCGGGTTTTCTAATCGAACGGTGGCCGTCGAGTTCATGGATGAAGGAAAGTATGCGCGTCGGGAGATTACTTAGTTGAGCATAATGTTTGTTCACCGTAGCTTTTCTCCATTCTGTTATGCAACTGATTAAACGCTATAACTTCGCGATGAATCATGCTTATCATGGCGTGCTCTACAGAGACGTGCGTACGTACTGCATTTATGCTACGTGCTTCAATTTAGTGATATACCTTCCATATTACCTCAATAATAAATGCTTATGGCTTCTTTTACTTCTCGTGTCGTAGTGCCGCAATTAATCACCGGATTCAAGTTGAGAGTGTCACTGTATTTCGTTCGTCACAAACTGCTGTGCCAGTGAGAAGCCAAGTTCCATAGCCTACATGCAAGATACTCAATGAGGTTGACTAAATGAACCTTCGAAACAGTCAATTTGTCAAACGCACCGTTCGAAAATGCACTTGTGCAGCATCAACGTTGCGTGTGACGCCTTTGCCATGTGAAAGGAGGCATCCCAAATTGAAATGGGCGTGTGGACTATTTGAATTTGCAGCGTTCCGGTAACACTCGACCGCTTTTCTATAATTAAGGTCACAGCCGTCACCTTCCTCGTACATTAATCCTGTCAAAGGCGCAATAATTTTAAGTCTTTGAAGCAATGACCACGCTTTCGATCATACCGAGGGCGTTCAAGGCTTCCGCGTCACCAGCATTTGCTGCGATCGTGTAAAATCGATGTGCTTCGCACTTATCGGCTTTGCAACCAATGGCCGAGTAATACATAGAGGCTACACGCTTAGCAGCTTTGATATGGGGCTTCAAGCACAGTAAGTAAATGATTTGAGTGGAAAAAGCAGCTTCATATTTTACCACTGTAGCTGTGGCAGCTTTCGTGTAGAAGCGAAGAGCGGCAGATTGGTCTTGAAGTTGCGACGACGTCTCGAGTGACTTGCCTAGTGCATAGTAAGCATCAGTGTGTCCACCTTTACCAGCGTTTAAGAGTAAACGCAAAGCTTCGTCGTGGGACTCATTGCGGTCTTGAAATTGACTGAATGATACCGGCTCAGCCCAAGCTCCGTTTTCTTGTGGCTTGTGAAGCAGCAGCAAACTTGCTAGTCGCGTCATGGCGACGCTACTGCCAGCCTCTGCAGCCTTTAGCAACAAAAATTGCCGCGTCAGCATGACACATCATCGAAGTGATAAATAGAACCGAATTTCGTACGCTTTGCAGAAACGCCACTCCGCGCTCAAGATCTTGCTTGACACCATTTCCTGTTGTGTACAGCAATCCTAATCGTGTCTGGGCGCTCGAATCGCTCTTATCGAATTAAAAGGATGTATACGTTGAAAACAAGGTTCAGCTTCTCAAATGCAAGAGTTTGGGACAAACCTTGGCAGCTGCACGCTGCAGAAAGTGAACAGCTTTGGCGGTGTCGTGCTGAAGTTGTGTTCCAATAATGAAGAGACGCCCTAGACAGGACTCAGCTCCGGTATGACCTTGATCGGCAGCTTTGGTATACCACGTGGCTGCTTCCATTTCGCTCGATTCCAAACCGCCTCGCCCGTTTTCATGGAAAACCCCTTAACAGCAATTTAGATTTATGAATACCTCACCCCAGTTCCACAATTTTTTCGAGCTTAAATACCGAGTTCGTATTGGGCGTCGCGATGACCTTGTCCAGCGGCTTGGGCGTAGCGAATTCGAGCGATGGCGAGAAACTCACTCGACTGTTGCGTGTCTTTTGTATATGCTGCTTTCTCGCACTAAAAAAGTGGGAAATCATGCAAGGTCAAGCGACATATTCCAATTAGTCAAAACAATATATGTTACCATCAAAAGTCCCATTTGATAACAAGCCTCAATATCACCTGCACATGAAGCAAGTTCAAACCATTTTTCCGCGACGAGCAGGTCTTTTTCCGTTCCGTTTCCAGCAAAATGCATTTGTCCCAAGCAGGTCATGGCTATTGTACAATCAGACATGGCAGCTTGCTAATTAACATTATAGATACCAAATAGATGGGTAACAGCTTTCAGAACATTGGCATGTAGTGTCGAAAAAACATACCTCATAAAGCTCTAGAGCTTTGCGAAGATTTTTTATCTTTCCATGTCCAAAGAAGTGCTGGTGAGCTTGTATACAAATTTCGTCTCCAGTCAAAACTGGTGCCTTTGATTCCAGTAATGGAGGTGGCGTCATGGGTAAAGGCAACTGCAAATCAACATCGGACCGCCTTGCTATCGCTATAGACAACTCCATAAATAAAGACGTGTAGTATGAATTTATCTCCTGGAAAGCAAACAACACTTCGCTTTTGAAGGATCGATTTAGCATGAACTTTGCAACGCGTAGTCGCCCAGCAACAGCAAACACTTGTGTTAAGGAGGCTGAAAAATTTTGCAAGGCTATGTAAACGCCTTCATTTGATACATGTTCCACAAATTCAGTCTCATATGCTGCAAACTCGTCTTGAGCTTTGCCCAAGAGACCTCGAAGCTCAGCTCCAAGACGCACAGCTAGAAGTTTGCGAGGATCCACGTTATCTAACTCTGTCAGCAATTTTTCTAGAGTTTCTCTCACGTCATCCACTAAGTTTTGACCTAACCTAGCTCTACCATCGGTCTCAATAGATCCAAAGGAGAGTTTAGATAATTCTTCTTGTGTTTCCTGATTCGTTGGCTGTTGCGTCACCTCACGAATCTCTGTCAATGGATTTCGTCGTTGAAAACTCGGCACTGCTTTTAACTCCGGTTTGTCTGCTTGAGCTCGTTTCACGACTCCAAACACGCTTCGCCTACTCCCAGTCCCTCCCTTTGTTGATATTTCGGGGCTACTATCGACAACGGAATCGTGCTTCTTTAACAGAGCGGCATTTGACGCATTGACAACATTCTTGGCAACAGCAAATATTAATTTTGCTTTACGCATGGGTTTCTTAATCTCAGCTACATCTTCCTGCTGTGTCAACTTTTCAGTCGGTGACATGGTGGCTGGTGTCAAGCCAGGTAAAAACGTCACATTAGAGCTCGGATCACTCGCCATTTTGAAAATAATGACATCCTAGAATTAGAAGGAGAATTCCCGATTTAGAATGTGTTCAATGGTCTAGGCTTGATGCATTACAGTTCACCACAATAACATGATAGTAATAGGTATCCGATACCATATGCATTTATTATGGAAATACCGAAGACTTTCAAGCGCGTCAATGTCTACGGCTTATAGTCCGACGCATATCTCCGGGACGTGCGGTCATCATGTCCATTAGGCACAGTGCGTCGGTAGCCACGCTCCATGGCTTCTTCCTCCCTGTTCACTGGTCGTCCTTCAGTCCGACGGTACCCATACCCTCGATCTTCGTAGCGATCATCGCCCCCTCGTCGGTTGTCTCTCCGGTAGTCACGACGTTCGCGAGACCGCGAGCGAGATCGTCGATTCCGTTCTTCCCAACGCCGATCTTGTTCACGATTGATACCACGATCTCGTCCATTATCTCGAGACCGCGACCTCGGTCGGTCCTGTGGACTTCTGACGTTTCCGCTGCGGCTGTAGCCGCGTTCCCGGGAGCGCAAACGATGTCTATCTTGCATTGGAGGTGGATCTCTGGAATCAATATTCCGATCATTTCCCCAATCTCGAGAGCGCGAGCGCCGCTTGCCACTTGAAGACCCGCCCGTATCGTTGCGAGTCACTGATCCGCGCGCTGCAGGCTCAGGAGCGTCCTCAAATTGTCCATTGTGCACAGTTGGTCCTTGAGAAGAATTTGTTGGGCGTGATTCCGCCGTAGGTTCAGGAGGAGGAGCGGTCACGCCTTGCTTGGTCATCCATGCTGGCAGCGTATTCGCACGTCCGCGTCCTCGTCCAGCCATCGTTTACACTAAATTAAAAAAAGTTTTATTTATATAATAGCGAATTTTAGTCCTTGCTGTCAGGTTTTGAAAATTGTCAATCTTGACATGTCAGGTAGTGGACGAAAGAGTGCGTACCGCAAAGGCGTGACCAAACGCGTGCTATATGGAGAACCCGAACCTAAAGATAATGAAAGCATCGTGCGTGTTATTGCATTGCGAGGTACTAATCTGTTTGAGGTGCGACTATTGTCTGTAGAGAAAAAGGTATATATGACTGCGTATTGAGCGGATTTTTATTGGCAGGTGGTGGATGTATCTGGCACAAAATCTGTAACGATGTTGCCAACAAAATTTCGCAAGCTCATTTGGGTGAAACGAGGTGACTATCTAATCGTTGGCGAAGGTGATGGAGGAGAGACTACAACGGCCACGGGCAAGAAGGGTGCCGTAACGTCTATTGTGGAGCATATTTTGTACAAAGATCAAATTGAACATCTCAAGCAAAAAAAACTTTGGTATATTGTAATGATCACGTATCCATACTATTGAGTTGCCTCTTAGCCTTATTGACGTCTTGGTTTTAGGCCTTCCGCGTTTGACGATTCGTCTGTAGAGCAGATGGGAATTCAAGACGGAAGTGTTGTTCATAAAAAACAAGAGAACGAGATCAGCGAAGTACAGCCATCCAAGGGACTGACCATGGTGGAAGACCATTTTGCATCAATGCACGTGAATCGGAATCGTCGCAAGGGCCACTTTGACGAGGAGTCAGACGATGATAGTGACGACGAGTGAAACGCTCGACTGCTTTTGCTTTGACCTAATGAGCCTCTTGCACAATCATCAATTTTTTATTGAATTCTGTTTGAGTGGAGAACGAATCAAGTCGTTTGCGCGAGCAAGAAAGTTGTATAGAATCCACATGCAGTGCGTGAGCAACTGCGAGCTTAAAGCTGAACCAGTTGTGTCGATTTGTGATACAATATTGAAGTTAAAAAATGTGATGCTAATCCAGTTTCTTCATTTGAGACTACCATCCGACTTTTTTTTTTTTTCATAGCTTTATTCGAAATGAAGTCGATGGTTGGGATTTGAGAACAACGCAAGTAAATAATTGCGAGAACCGCAATTATCCTTCTCTTGCATAATTCGATAGCTTGAAAACACTTTGTTTCAGAGCATTCATAGGTTCAACGAAATAAAAAAAGAGTGAACTGAGACCGGTATACTCACCACATGTTGAAAAGAACATCAAGAATTCGAGTTTACGATCAGTCGGAAGGATACCCGAGATCAGAACTCAATGATCAATGACCTGACACAATTGTCTTTGTTGACGTTTTTATCTCAACTTGCCGTATGAACAGACTTGGCATAAGAAAAATTACATGGTCTTGGCTGTATTTTAAATCTTGTTTGTAAGAACACATCAGGCTTCATTCAGGAACTAGTCGATTATGGATAGCTTTACATAATCTGCACCGTTTTTTCTTGCACTATGAAAAGAATGTATCACTAACATAAATTTCATAAGAGCTACTACGAATCTAACCGGTGTTGCAGAAGGGTAATGAAACATACATGATTTACTTAAGTTTTTGTTTTGTCAATGCTGGCCGAGTGTCACGTTCTCGAGGTTTTGAGCCTCTCCAAGAGTTGCTCGAGCAGTTCTTGTTGCTGACGCTGCAAAAGCAGTGACTCGTTAGTCAACGCTAGCATATGATTAATGGCAGCACACACAAAGTAGATCGCATAGATCAACATCAGTGCGCAAGCAATGACTGCAGCTTGGACCGATGGATGAAATTGTGACCGTGAACCACCGTTCTGAGAACCATTGGCCGCAGTTGATGAGCTGGTGACGGTAGCAACCTGCTGAAATAATGGATTCGATGGCACTTTCTGCACGCTAATTGACTTCGATGTTGTTTCCAAAGAATTTACCACACGCGTAGATGTTTTATCTTGGTCATTTAGTTTTGTAGTCTTAGTTGCGTCGAGAGCAGCATCTAGCCATGCTTTAACAGCTTCTTTGGCCTCTGAAACAGTAGTGTTTTCAATCTGAATCGTACGGTAGAAATTATTACAGTTAATAAGTCACTCCTCGCAAAACAGATCTTCGACAACTACCTGTTTCTTTAACCACGTGCTTTTCAACCACTGAATGCGTAGTCCAACCTGGGCTAACGACTCGCTTGGTTTGTTCATCGCGCTAAAAACCCATCGGTGTTCAACGCGAAAATAATCGCAGTATGGCACATCGGATACACTCGTGGTTGTGCTCACAATGAGGCGATTTCCTTTTCTGTATGAATAACGCTGAATTTGGGCTGTCGGTATGACACTGGGCCCTATCATATACTTTTTATTGTGAACGTATGAAACCAAGCGAGAGCCATCAAATGTGTCCAATTTGGTCACAGCAGCGTACGCTACGCTTTGTTTCGTCCAGTCAGGAAGAGAAATGTTCGTGGCACCGGCTGCGTCAAGAATTTCGCGCGAAAACGTGTTCGACTCGATCCAAAATCTAGTAAAAGCAGTGTCCACACTGCACGCAGAATACTCATCAAATAAAATTTGACTTGAATTGAAAATGTTGGACACAAGCATTCGTACCTGAACGGCACTTCTTCGTTTAGCAGTAAATCAAATTCATCCAGAAAGTCATCCTTTTCTGGGATTACAGGATGTGCTGCTAATGTTGATGAAACCGATAGCGGGAGACGACTGCCCTCTACAGAAGTAGTCTCGGCAGAAGCCTTTTTAGGTATAGGGGCAACTGCAGCTAGGTCATGTGAGCTGCTTTTTCGTATCAGCTCGCCGTCATTAAAAAGCTTTCTGTCTAAATCAAGGGACTCCGGTGTTGGGTCCAACATTAAAACCTCCGTCTCCTTCTTCATCGATCGAAGTTGCTGAATGCTCTGATAGCATTCGTCACTGTGCCAGAAAATCTTAGTTCCTACGACAAATTCAACATCTTGCAGTCTACACATACCGAAAGACGAATGAAGCGAAAAACACTTTTTCTCCTCTCACAGTAAACTGTAGATTCACAATGTCAAAAGGAAGCTCTGTAAGAGTACAAATTCAATCAAACCTCGATGGCATTGGGAACTATCAGAGCTGTATTTTTCTTTTCCATTGCCGCAATCTCAGAGAACGAAGCAGTCTGAACCAAACCGAGTTATAGTTAATAATCTCTCGAGCTCATAGACAAAAAGCGTACAAATAATGTGTCTCGCCACCCAGAAAAGTGCATTCGGTCCTTTGTCAAATATAGTCGTCCATGAAATGGAAAATTTGAAAAGTAAAGAGCGCACGTATAACTTTCGACAACTTGGTCAGGTGTATCCGACTACATCAACGATACGGTCAGTCAATGACTCACAGCGTTAGTTTGGTAGCACGAACGAAGCATGAACCTGGATCTTCTTTTCAAGGTCGGAATCTCCAGGTGGCTGCGCTTCATACGATCCTCGGACAGGGTCTTTTACAAGATTCGCGTCAGCATATCCGGTCACCGTAGTATCCTCCTCAGCAATTTCGGAAGCTATTGCTACTCGTTTGACTTCTGATGATTCACTTAAGTGTGGCAATTTTGTTTCAGATAAATGAATCTCGTTGCTAGGAGTGGTTGTGGACGGATTTGCACCACTGGAAAGACGCCGAATGGTCTTGTCTGAGTTTTCTGATGCAACCAATGATGCATTTCCAAGGTATTCTTTTATCACTTCTTTCAAATTGTCATTATTGTGATAAACAGGCACAATGAGCTTTGCAGGTTCGTACGGTTGTCGATTCGCTTGGACAAACTCAGCCATATCGCTACTTGGATCAATCTTTTCAAAGTCAGTCAAGGCCTTATTTCCAACGAACATTCCTCCTTGCAACATGTGCTCGACAGCTTTGGCAAGTGATTGCAAAGAATTTTTGCTGACTTGTAGCCGATACTTCTCGTTCTTCATACACGTCGATATAAAAACCTCAATCTCCTAAATTTCATGTTCGCATTAAAGGTAATGTTCAGACGTGTACACAAGAGACTGACAGCGTGGCCAAACCTGAATGTAGATCTGGTATGTTTGCTTCAACGAAGTACTACTATCGGTCACTTGCACTTGCAGCAGACACATTTCGTCCGCGAGTTGACGGAGCTTGGCTTCAGACCGCCGCTCCTTTTCGTTAAACAGTCGAATGTTGGCATTGAGCACCTTTAAAGCCTCAGAAATGTCAATTCCGTAAGAGTTCGTAGTAACCGGTGTTGCCCCAGGCAGATACGAAAACATCATGGCAAAGTCCCGAGATCTTATATTTAGCTTTTGCTGCAGCTTCTTATGCAAAGCTGCTTCATTGCACAACGCCGTGTGCAATTTCACAAAGTTTTCTTGAGTTGCAATTCGAGCCCTCTCGTACTCACTCTTCATGGTGGCAAGACTGAGGGACACAGGCTCAGCAAGCAGCGATCGAAATTCCTATATCACACCTGAAAATTAGTCGAGTTAACGAAACCACGACAAAATCAGTTGCACACCTGATGAATTTCCAAAAGAAGCTTTACTTGATCCTTTAGTATCATCCAGCCATTTGCCATCGTACTTCCTTCATCGGCTAGAAAGCTGGTGGCGTTGAATGATGCTCCAAAGAGATCTGTAGCCAAAATCAGTCCGCCACTCTCGTGTGTACGAAGCAGCTTACGAAGAGATTGGACAAATCGGGTTTCGCTAGCGATAAATTCGGTCACGATTGAGTTTATGGTTCCAACCATCCGCTGTCCGTTGTCTGACATCGCCTGAATATGCGTCATGCGAATATAAAATGGGTTGACCGACAAATCTGCCCGATCGACATCTACATCTTCTTGGCTCCCAAGACCTTGAAACCCCTTTTCAATATCGGCTGGCATTCAAGGTGTGTCAGCTTCATATCGTCCACTAATACGTGCACTCAACCATAACTCACCTAGCTCATGGACTTCGTTTACACTAGTTTTCATCCGCTCAACAAATTGCTGAGATCTCGAGAACATGTCAATAAATGCCTTTTGCATGCGCAACAGTATATCACGAAGATATTCGAGACGCTGTTCTTCAGTGAGCTGAAAAGCAAGCAAATTATCTTTAATTTCTCGGTCAATAACGGGCCGCTGCGCGTTCGCGTACTCAACCGTATGGACGTAATGTTTTTCTGCTGCCATAACTTCATCAAGACATCCATACAACTTTGATCGCTGGCGTTCCAACGGGTTGCGACCAAACGAAGACGTGGTATCCCACATCTTTGTAAGCAATTGCCCGGCACCTGCTGCCAATTTGTCAGTCAGCTCCTTCGACATTGAAACTTCATCAGACACGTCAGACGACGCGACGCTTACGTCTGCTCCCGTGCTCGTCTCACTCTTTCGTATTGTTGATGTAATTTCAATGGCTTCGTTACATTTTCGCTCGTACTTTTCTCTTGCTTTGTCCACTGAAGAAATCATTTGTTGTCTCGCCCAGCGTACCTTTGTTCCCTCTTAACAATCAACGTTAATAATTGTGAACCTTCTGAAGGAGAGTACGATTCAAAATAAATGTTTAAAGAAATTGGAATACCTGACACAAGTCTTTGCGTCTGAATCTCCTGTTGTGCTGCAAAAGCTTTTGCACGAGGTCCGATAGTCGTTTGCATTGTCTGTGCAAACGTCCATCGCTCATGAGCTAGATGCTCGAATGCTTCCTGAAAAGTAGCCCAGCACCTTGAAAATTGTTGTGACCAATCTTCAGCTTTTGCACCCCTGAAAGACATACACCATTTCTTGAAAAAGCGATTTAAACAAATTAAACAACGACCCTTTCTTACTGTGCCAGCTTAAGCAATGCCTGTGCATAGTTGCTTTCTAGCCCAGCACGCTCCGTGACGAATGCCGAGACTGCTTGGCAGTATTGTACACCACTTTTTGCCTTTTGACAGACTTTGGGAAAGGCTTGAAAGAGATCTGTCGAGTATGTTCCCTCTTTGAGAGTGAAGTGAGGCAACGCCTCGTCCTCAGTTGTCAAATTGCTTTTGTCTTGATCACAAGATGTTTTGAACGTCATTGGCACTGTTGTTGGATCGCTTTGAAGCTTCTGTTCATTCAACATCGTGTCCGTTGTGATATAGGACGCCTCTTCTATTGAGCGGATAAAGGAGAAATTCATCGCATGAAAAATTACGTTAAAACGCGAAAACAATTGAATGAAGAGACCAAAAATGACAAGACATACCCATGTCAAGCAGCTAGAAAGATGTACGCGTGCGATGGTTACTTGAAAAGTGGACGCAAGCAGTTTCAAACGGTTAATTAGCATATTCAAGTTTTTGATATAAAATAATTACAATCAATATACAAGACGAGAAGTCTTTTCGAATGTTATTCAGCCATTACCACTCGCTAGATAAGTCTTCTTATCTTAACAAGTTTACCTACGCATCAAGTCATAAATGCCTTTCAAGGATACAACTTAGTACTGAGCCTTCTTGGCAGCCTCGGCGGCAATCGCCTTCTCGCGCAACTCAAGCTTCTTTTGGGTCTTCAAGCCCATGATACCACCACCCCATTTACGACGGGTAGCAGAGTCCTCGTTAAACTTTGCACGGAAGACTTGTGAAAGCGAGTCGAATTTGGCTTTATCTTCTTTGTTCACGTGTGTCAGAGCCACCACAGCGGCATTTTTCTGGTGCACGAGTTGACCTAAACGAGCTTTTCCCTTGACGATGCAGTATGGAATGTCGAATTGACGGCACAAAGCAGGCAAAAATACGACAAGCTCAATAGGGTTCACGTCGTGGGCAATCACTACAAGCTTAGCCTTCTTGTTCTCAATCAGGGAGGTAACGTGGTTCAAACCAAACTTGACAACTGCAGGTGGCGCCGTTGCTTCCTGCTTTCCGGCAGCAATGTTACGCAAACGCAAAGTTTTAGCAGCCTTAGTTTCAGGTTGGTACTTGAGCAACAGCTTAAATAGATCAGTAGCCACGTTCTTATCCACAGTGTTGGAAAATTGATTGATCGATGGTGGTACTTTCAAGCGCTGGTATAGGATCTTACGCTGACGCTGGAGGCGGACGTAACGTGGCCAACGAACGAAACGGGACAGATCACGCTTAGGCTGTATATAACAGAAGTGAGTTAGTAAACCCAAAATTAAAATCATTGCTATGTTGATACTGGCAATATGCAGGAAATATTACCCTTGAGGCGCAATCATCGCAAGCGATGTAAATTGCCGCCACAAGTTTGTGTCATTGCGGTCGTGGGGGACCCGCTACACTTAACTCAGACGAGGTGATGTGGAGAATTCAGTTCATGTAGCACAGGAGCTTTGAGCTGATGCATTCTCAACGACCTCACTGAGGGGCGTGATAACGCTGCCTCTAGTTAACCAAAAAGGCAACGATGGGATAAATAGCAGCGCTTTGGTATACCTGAATGTCATTGCCCTTGCGAAAATTTTTAGGCGTCGATGCAAACAGTGGGTTCTTCTTCGAGGTACTCGATACCTTTGCCGACTTAGAAGACTTGGTAGTCGTGGTGGTGGTGGTGGTTGTGCGTTTGATCTTCTTCGTAGGCATAGTTATCGTAAACGGCGAATCAACGAATGGGAAGTTGGTGATTTAGACTCGAAGCTTACAGCCAGTCATTCAGCAGCGTTACTTATAAACCAATAGAAATTATCTTAACTGTTCTGGATATTAAATGCTCAGTAGGAAGTACTATTCATCATTAAATGCGTAGCACTATAGTACTATACCAGCGCTCAGGCTTCAAGATACGTATTGAGACGATCAAATACAGCAACACCACGATGTAATACCTCACTTTTCCAAAAACTACTACGATGCAGGTAAAACACGTCTCGGAGTTTTTGTGCGTACGATAAGCGGTTTACAGATGACGGATAGTGATAATACACGGTATTCTCCTCAATCAGTGCTTTTAAGATGAATATACCAGGCACCGTTCCAAACTCTTGACAAACCAAAATTGCATTTCCATTGTTTTGAGACCCCGATAACTTTGCCACACCATCAAATGTGAAACCATTGACACCATCGTAACCGCGTGACACCGGATTGTCATGATCGTGTATAAAAACCACCTTGTTCGCATACTCTGGACCAGCAAAAACATTGCGGGCTAATGTCATGTTACTACTCGATCCAAGCATTAGCGTGTCAACACCAGAAGGTCCAAGCCCCGTGTGCACATCTACCATCGCAAATTTTGTGACAATGCTGAAGTCGACATGTTCCAGCAAGAAATCTTGTAATAGCGCTAAACTAGGTTCAAGCTCTGTTCCACCATAATATAGTGTCTGAGGAAAGTGATAGTTTCCATTCACTGTCGCTTGCTTAATCGATTCAAATCCCATTGTCGTTAGATAAATCAAACTTTTTAGCCAAACCGAGTTAAAGAAACCGTTCAGTTCCTTAGGATTTAGCAGGTCAAAGACGTCCATGTATCCCACTCGGTTTGGGTCTCTCGCTTGGTGTTCTTGAAACTCTTCAGGCGTGAGCCAATTACGGTTCAAATCAATTCCATGCTCATTACATCGACGCAGCTTTGCAAATCCATATGCATTTAGTGCATGAACGAAAATCACAGTAGGCTTCTTGTCAGCAGAACGTTGGGAAGCCGCTTCACGTTCCAAGAGAGCTGCCTGAATGGCACTTCCGGCAAAACCCTCGACACCATGCGTGCCCGAAATATGGAGCAGTACACGATCACGCGATCCTTCAAGCACTGCTATATCCACAGTCAAATCCATCGATTGGATGTGTTGAAGGGGCAGCGAGAACAGCTGGGCACCGGCAGCCTCGGCACGTAAGCGAAAAATTTTCCGCGCCTGGTAATACGAATCACTGTAATGTATGTCGACGCTGATGTTGATACTAGAAGAGGAGAGAAATGAATCTATCGGTGCAAAATCGTTGTATGTGTGTATCAGCAGCGCCAGTAGCAACGCTGCGAGTGCCGGTATCAAAACTTGGCGTATCATCCTCTGACAGAGTCTATATATTTTTAAATATAAGAATGAAGTTTGGATCGTTCGAACTTGAACCGACTCCAACGTCTCTAAAATTATCAGACCGCGAGACCTGAAGCCGTCATTACTGCGCTCTTGTCCAGTCGTCTCTGTAAAGCCAATTGACATCATGGGTCTGCGTTGCTCATGCTTGGACCATCCGCATAAATATCAGCGACGGCAGTCTGATGATCTTGACATGGAACGAAGCAACGACGATAGCGACGAAGAGCTGTCGGTATTGGTAGAGGAGCAGGAAGGTCATGAACTTCTACATGTAGGATCTAGATTAAGTTTAAATGTTTGGAATAGTTCAAGAGCGCGATCGAAGCGATGTGGATCGATTGCTGGTACTGAAAATGTAGCAGAATTAGACACGTCAGACGACGTAGACGAGGAGAAGCACGTGCCTCGAAGTCTCATTTCAAGGCTAATTGGACGAGGCATTAATGATCTAATAACACCACTCTCACCTTCATCGGAAGAGCTATCGAGGCTGCTTCGTTCTTATCAGGAAATCACTGGAGTAGTAAGTTGCTACTGCTTTCTCACATAGTCGATTCTGTTGATGGAGCTAATCTGGCTTGCTTTGGTAGGTCGATGAAGGTCAGCTTGACCTTGAATGCATTATGTGCTTGGATACATTTTCTGAAGTGAGTAGCTTTTGATCTTATTGAAAGTGACGGTCGTTGTAATGAAGACATTGTATGAATGCATGCAGAACAATCCAAAGGTCCGCACATTGTGTAATTGCGGTATCAATCGCACGAATTTTCATATGAGCTGCTTGCTCGAGTGGATCAATCGCGACGCAAATTGTCCAGTTTGTCGCGAGTATCTCTACTTCGAAGATTTGTGATCAAATTCTATATTTGAAAGCAAGCACCTGTACTGGGCAGCTTTACTCGTGTCTTGGAACAAGACACCGAGTCTGTTGCACATCAATTCCTACCTATTTATTAATGTGGGCAAGATGCTGTGACTGTTTCATACACACCAGAAATGATATCTTGTCATGCTACGCAACGAAATTTGGGATAAGAAGCAGCCATTCTTTGATGTCAAAATATTTGAAATTTACTGTTGTCAAGTGTAAAGACCGCTTCGTTCGCGAATTGCATAAGCGCACACCACAGCTACGACGCTCACAGTGACAGTTGCGACAATGATCGAAGTCTAATTGAGCACAGAAAGAATTAGTGTAAATATAGCTAGAATGTCATCCATATCATCAACATACTTGCCAGGAGCCGAGTATTTTACGTAATGCGTCTTCGTGCCTGTTTGAGAAAGATTGCGACGAGTTCGTGCAGT